TCCATCATCTCTTGGCACAGATATAGTTAATCTGATTCCTGTGTACTCTGTCTGGTGAAGTCCACATGTATAGCCACCGTTTATGTTGTTGAAAAAAGGTATTTGCAATGAATAAGTAAAAAATTCTATCATGTGACCTCTGTTGTCATTTCTATCACCAAGGCCATATTTTCCAACTATCAGTGATTCTTCTTTGTTTCCAACTTTTGCATTCCAACCACCAGTGATAATTAACACATCTTGATTGCATGTTTGGTCAATTTCAGACTGCAGAAAAAATTGGTAAAAGTCTTCAATTTCCTCATCTTTGGCTTTGGTGGTTGGTGTGTAATAGTGCCTAAGGCATTTGACAGCTAACTAGAAGCCTGGAGGTTCAAACCCACCAGCCACTCCTCAGAAGGAAGATTGGGCGATCTACTTCCATAGTGATACCACCTTGGAAACCCAAGAAGGGGTCACTATGCATTAGTCCTGACTCAACGGCAGTGAGTTTGGTTTTGTTTGGAGTATTAACTGGTCTTCCTTGTTGGTGGATGGATATTATCCTATCACTGACAGCACTGCACTTCAGGATAGATCTTGATAACATTCTTTGTGATGATGAAAGCCACACCATTCTTCTTCAATTTGTCATTCCCAGCATAGTAGATCATATGATCATGTGATTCAAAATGGGCAAAACCAGTTCATTTCAGCTCACTAATATGCCTAGAATATCAATCTTTATGTGTTCCATTTCATTTCTGACATCTTCTAATTTTCCTACATTCATACTTCATACATTCCAATGGAATATTATTCAGTCATAAAAAGCAATGAAGTACTAATGCATGCTACACATATTGTATGATTCCATTTATGTGAACTACCCAGAATAGGTAAATCCATGAAACAGAAAGCAGATTGGTTGTTGTTAGGAGCTGGAGAGAGGGTGAATAAGAAGCAACTGCTTATTGAGTTATTGAGTACAGGGCTTTATATTGGAGTGATAAAATGTTCTGGAATGAGACAGAGAGGGTAGTTGCAAAATATTGTAATGTACTAAAACCCAAGGAGGGGTCGCTATGAGTTGGAGACGATTCCATGGCACATAACAACAACAACAAAATGCCATGTCACTTTAAAATGATTAATTTTATGTTCTATCAATTTCAGCAGAAGGGGAGGAGCCACTGCTACTGATGTGCAGTTACCTCACTACTAACCATTCATCCCTGCTGACTATCAATAAGATAGGCTTCCACTTTTCTCTGAAAACTCAGCCCATCACACACAGTAAACTATGGCAAGAGTTATAGGTGGAGAAGACCATTTCTGTTAAACAGTATGGATAAAATTGGGAATGAAGTGAACATATAGAAATGAGAAAAAGTAAAAACATAAGGAAAACTCAAACAAACAAAGAAACCACCAAACAAGAGGAAACTGAAAGAGAAAAGAAAAACCTTCGAAGAGCAAAACGGAAATCGTTACAAATACAGCTTGATTCATGAAGGAAAAAAGATTTCAACTGTCACTAGTGATGAACCTTCACCATATCTGAATTGATCAGAAAGTGTTAAAATCCCTAAGGCAGAAGAAAAAGGCTTTGGGCTCAGAAATAGTGTCAGTATATCAATAAATTTATAAGGATAAAAACAAATAAACATTCCCCAAACCAATCCTGAAATTAAGAGCTATCTCTAATAACTCATCTTGGGGACCACACATTTAGTTAAATGCCAATGACAGCGAACTATTTTTGAAAGTCCACTTTGAAGCTGTCTTCAAAATTACTTTTTAAAAACAAAACAAAACCGGAATGCTTCATCAATTCACATTTAAACCATTATTTTAATCCAAAACATGGTAGCTGTTTCTAAAAGAATGATAGTTTCTCTAACATTGTATATCACTGTATAATCAGCGAATTAAGTACTCATAAAACTATACTTACATATTCTTTCACGTTTTTTGTTTTCACAGCTTTGTAGGAATAATATGCAGGATAAAGCATTCCAAACACCAACCTGAAAGTAAGAAGTATGAGAAGACTAATCAACACAACATGATTTTAACAGCTAATTTCACCTAATAGAAATTTCACCTAATAGAAAAGTAGGAAGTACATGGAAAACTCATGACAGTGTAAATTTGCATGATTGACAATTTGTGTATAAATTAGACCCACTTAGAAAGGCAAAGTGAGAGTCAATGATTTTACAAAAAGATGATTTCAATGTTTTAGGTAAATGTGGTGGTTCAGTTTGCATGTCAACTTGGCTGGGCCTGGTTGAGGGTCTGAGCAGCTGGTGGCAGTTATATCCCATGATGAGACTGGCAATCAACTCCATGGTGGGATCTACCACAAGCAGCTGAGTAGCTGCCTTTGGGCTGTGGTCTGCTTCCTGTAGGTAAGGAGAAGACTTGGGGATAGTCTCTAGCTTATGGCACCTTGAACCCTGCATGTAGCCGTGTCAAAGTTTAGCAGCCTGCCATGCTCTGCCGATCTTGGGACTTACAATGGATTTGAATTAATGGCCTGCCATGTGATTTGGTAATATCGGGACTGTGCCTTTTTACTTGTCAACCTTGGGCTTGGCAGCCTCAGCAGCCAGTAGCTGCTGAGTGAAGAAGCCTCTAGCTTCAGTGGCCCGGGAGCTGGAGGCAGAGCTGAAGCCCAAGGCTGAGGGGCTTTCACCCTGCCCCTAGAGCCTGGCACTTTGAACTCAGGTTTAAAGTCTCCAAATTTTAAGAACAAACTTCTGTTTGTTAAGGCCATCCCATTTGTGGTATATTCTTGTCAGAGCAGCACTAGGTAACCAGAACAGTAAATAAAATATATTTTTTTAAAATACTAATAGTTAAAGTCCTTTTATTTCCTAATCACAAAAAATATTGTGCAATTCCTTGAAGAATATTTGAAAAATGTAGAAAGTCACCAAAACTAAAATTAAAATGGTCCCAACCCTACCAGTCAGAAATAAACCACAGGAACATTTTATTGAGTGTGCATTCTACTTTTATCTATGTGTGTAAAATATTTAAAACACACACACACACACACACACACAAACATATAAACTTGTGGTAATGAAAAAGTGGTCCTTCACTGCCATTAATTTAAAAAACACTGGCTTCAAAATATAATGACTGTGGAACAATACTTGATATACTTATTATAACATGTATTAAAATAACTCAGCAAGTCATTTGTAAAATGACTTTAAATCATTAACAATTTAATACCATCTCTTAAGATTATTTAATGAAATCCCAGATCCCAGAGACATGCACATATAATGAAAAGTATAACCACAGAAATGCAAGACAGAGTATACATGACAGAAGTAGTCTTAATGTCTGCATTGCATTCTACCTTGAGATTCCTATAGTTTATATAAACAATCCTGTATTTATAGGCTTTTGACTAATTTCTGCTCTTGTACATAACACTGCAAAAACCATTTTTTTGTGTGTACAGTGATGGTCACTTCCTGGCTGTAATGTTGCGGCTTCAAAATGATACACACATTTTTATCTATTATCAAATGTCCTACACAGAAAAAACAAAACAAAACAAAAAAACCTCACTGCCTTCAAGTCGGACCTGACCCATAGTGACCCCTCCTTGGGTTTCCGAGGCAGTATCACTATGGAAGTAGATTGCCCAACCTTCCTTCCCAGGAGTGGCTGGTGAGTTTGAACTGCCAGCCTTCTGGTTAGCAGTCAAATGCCTTAGGCACTAGGCCACCAGAGCTCTTTCACAACTTTTTTGCAAAACTATTCTCAAAACTCTCTAAATGGACAAAAGGATATCATAGATTTCATGCATCAAAAACCAGTTAAAAAATCAAATTTACTGGCATTCAGAAATGCACATTAAAATAGCTGTGATGTTATTATTTGTCTCCTATTTATCTGGCAAAGTAGCTTTTTAAAGACAGATAGATCAATAGGTGATATTCATGATGACAATATATGAGTGTAAACTGATACAACTTCTGTGGAGGGTAAACTCACTGCCACTGAGTCAGATCCGACTTATAGTGACCCCTCTTTGGGTTTCCGAGGTGGTATCACTATGGAAGTAGATTGCCCAACCTTCCTTTCGAGGAGTGGCTGGTGGCTTTGAACTGCCAGCCTTCTGGTTAGCAGTCAAATGCCTTAGGCACTATGCCACCAGAGCTCCTTTTATTAACTAAAGTCCATACTTTATTCTAATATATTGTAGGATGCCCATCTATTCAACTTTGTCTGATGTTTTCCTCATAATTAGACTGGGATTAAGGGTTTTGGAAGGAAGACCACATAAAGTATCATTCTCATCATATTACATATCTGGGGCACATATTATCAACATGACTTATCACTGTTGATGTTAACCTTGATAGCCAGGCTGAAGGAGGTTTGTCAGATTTCTCCACTGTAAGGGTCCTCCCTTTTCCCCTCTTTCCATACTGTATTCTTTGGAAGGAAGTCACTATGCACAGCCCACTCTTAAGGAAAGGGGAATAACTACATCTTCTTGAGAAATAGCTACACAAATTATTTGGAATTCTCCTGCATAGCAGATTTGTCTATTTTTCCCAAGTTAATTATTCATTCACTCATTTAAATCAATAAAATATTTGTTTTACACTTTGGGGTATAACCCACACTACTTAATTTTGTTGCTCAAAGCTTTGGGCATCAAGAGATCTTTCAGTTAGCTCCTGTGTCCCTTTGACGTACTTCTATCATTGTGATGTTCGGGAGTACTTCCTTATTTTCAGGTACTGCAAAATGTTCCAGGCTCATTTTGTATACTTCCAGCCCTAGTCTTAGAATCAGAATCCTACTCCTTTTTTTTTGGAGAATGGTATCAGAAATCAAGATCTCTGTGCTAGGTGTGTTTTTCGCTACTGTAATGTTGTTGATCCTGTCCTCTTGGCCATGGAGTCAATTCCAACTCATAGTGACCCTACAGCACATGTGACCCTACAGCACATAGTGACCCTATAGAACTGCCTCAGTGGGTTTCTAAGGCTGTAAACTGGTAGCATAGTACCTAAGGCATCTGACTGCTCACCAGAAGGCTGGCATTTCAAACCCACCAGACACTCCTCGGAAGGAAGTTTGGGCAATCTACTTCCATAGTGATACTGCCTCAGAAACCCAAGGAGGGGTCACTACGAGTTGGATCTGACTCGAAGGCAGTGAGTTTGGTTTGGAAACCTTTACAAGAGCAGATTGCTACATCTTTCTCCCACAGAGTGGCTGGTGGGTTCAAACTGCCAACCTTCCTTCTGGTTAGCAGCTGAGTGCTTAATAACCATGCCACTAGTGCCCCTGTTGTTGATACTAGGCTCTGCTGTTCTACCTGCTAATGTTAACAATATTTTTTAGGTTATTGTCACTGTTTGATTTTGTTTAATTTTCCTGAAATGCATATAATGTGTAATTGTAAATGTTTATATTGTATTTATATTTAATAAGCCTTTCCAACCCTGAAAGCAAGTAATTATCTACATCTCTCTCTCTCTCTCTCTCTCTCTCTATATATATATATATATATAATTTTTTTGGAGGGCACAGTAATTCCTATTGTTTTTCTTCTCTCTCACAAAATTGAGCACTGGGTTTCAGACTTATGTCACCAGGTCAGAAGAATACAAATCTTCTGCTGGGATTTTTATACCTTACCGATTGGAAGCCACAACATTAGTAATCTCTGCTTTACCTAACAATACTACTTTGTAAATGTTGTAATGTTGCTTTACCTAGAGCCAACCCTGAGATTTTAGATATGGGATTTCTAGCTGTGCCACAGAGCCTAGGACTTTGCAAATTAACAGGGATTTTCTTCAAAGTGCAGGGGCTTTCCAGCTTACAGATGTTTAAGGAAGAACTCTCTCTCCTCAAATAAATATCTATCCTTAAGAACTGAAGTATAGACAAGGACACAATTCCCAGGTCTGCTATGTGTTCATCCTCTCTGTTTGCACTATGTATGTATGATCCCATAGTTAGCCAATATAGTTATATATATTGCTCTTCTACTTACTAAAACAATATATTTTTAGGTTACTGTTACTGTTTGATTTTGCTAAAGTGTATACAATGCGTTATATTCACATTAACAATTTTAATCTACTTTGCATTTTCCTTCAGAATTGGGACACAATCAATGTATTGTCTTCCGCATCCTCATACAATCTGGCAGTATAGATTTAAATTCAACATAAGAGTCTTCATTTCTATCCCTGGATGGATTGTGGACTCCCCCTTGCCCTAACACTATATCCATCCAGTCTGTAATCCACTTCTCTTGGTTCTTCCTTGGTGAGAGAGTACATGTATCCATCTCTTTCTTCTGTTTTCAAACCTGTGGCCAATGATACACTTGGGCTCATGCCATCTCAACTGACCGAATGAAAAGTTTCCCAACACATTCCTGTGGCTCCACTGTCAGACTAATCTTTTTAATATACCTGCAGCACTGCCTTTCTTAAAGACTCCAATAGCTGGCTTCCTCACCTCCATGCCAACCAGCCCCTGTAGGGGCTCATGAGGAGATAATTTGAAAATCAGTGCCTTTTACAAAACATCTGTTCCAACATGGTTCCCTCAGTATGCGTCTTGTGTTTCCACTTCGTTCCTGGAATGTACACTGCTTGGCTGGAAAGCCTCCTTGCCCTCCCATCTTCCTTCCTGCCTTTCTTTCCCATTCTTTCTTCCTTTACTACCTTTTTTTTTTTTTTTATCCCCTCTGTTTAATGAAATCACATCTTTTCTTCAAGATCTAACTCTCCTCCATAGACTTCTAAATTACTTTCATTTTGACTTTCAGAAGAATTTGTCAGGATTAGTCATTTTCAATTTGGCATATCCAAAATTAAATTGTTCGATGTATTTTTAACGTGTATAACTGTTTTCCAGCTAGTACTCAGTGCTAGGTGATTCTATGCATACAGTGAACTGCCCTAATTTTTTAACCTTTATACTGTACAGAATAAGTCAAACAAATTAATGTAGTATCCAT